TCATGCTCCGCCCCTGCCGACGCATGCGGAGCCCAGCCCCTCCCCCACACCCCGCACCAGCGCCCACCAAGCCCGGCCAAGAACTCCACGACAGGGCCAACACTGCATGCGCACACAACGCCGCCCTTCTGGGCCAGCTCCCGCACCCAGACGACGGGCTCAGAGGTCGTGCCAAAGCCTTGCATTGCAGAAAACCAAAGGCCTAATCAAGTCCTCGAGAAGTCGAAGGACTACCGGATTGGCATCAGGAACAATGGATTTTGGTACACAACCAAGTTGCCGGAGAGTAGTGCTACAAAATTTCACAGCAGACTTTCTTTTATAAACCAGGCTTGTGGTTGCTTCATCCACCCGGCCTTGACGCTGTTGCAACGCCATTTCTGCCTTCTTCTGTGCCTTTCGTAAGGCAAAATGTTCCACGTTTTCGCGGGAAATCCACACTGAGATGGTCTCCTCATCGATGGCAATATTGGCATCCTGCATTCCGTTGTAGAAAAGGACTGATGTGCGCCCCAGATGTTTTGCAAGCTCACGTCGCCTTTGGATCTGTCGATGCTTTCTGTCCGACAAATCAGCGCCCACAGTAACCTCAATCAAGGCTGGTGTCTGAAGCTTCTCTCGGATGATTTTTTGAAGCGTGGTCAGCTCTGCATACCCTTCCAAACGGGCTGCTACTTGAGGAAGGTCGACTTGGGCTGGCCCTGCTGGGTCTGGCTCTGACATCATGTCCACCTCATAAAGCACGTCCGCACCCTTTCCCAGTGCTGGTGGGGGTGGATTGGCACCACTGCCAGAGAACCCCGTGTCCACAGCCCTGCTATATGCTCCCAGCTCGGCGCGCTCCAAAGCATCTTTGTGGACTTGCCACTTCTCCTGCACCGTTTGCAAATGTTTGAGATGTTGCTGATGGACTTGAAGAATGAATACGCGCGCTTCGCGCAAAGCGGCCGAGTCGGCAAGTATATTCTTGCCCTTGTCGTAGAAGATGTTGCTGGTGACCCGGAGCCCGTGTTCAGTTCAAATCTGTTCGAGTCAAGGATGCTGTGACCAGTTCCCACGCTACAAACAGAGCTGCCGCAACTTTCCTCAGTCGCAATCGGCGGGTGTCGAAGGCTGCGGCGGCGTTCGCAGCGAGAAGTGACCTGGCCCATTGCAGTCTATGGATAACAATTTGAAACTATACATACGTGTTCATGTATGAACTGTTCATGTATGCAACGTTTCGCGCAGTGAACCACACGGCTCCATTCTCAGTGCACACTGTGTTCTAAAGCTGTGTGCTTGAGCCAAATGCAACAGGCCAGCTCGCTCTCCTGACAATAGGCCGGGCGCACCCCGAAAATCGGTGCCGGGGCGGTTCCGTAAGCCTCGTCGATTCCGTGTGGTGTTCGACCCATCCTAAACCCTCCCCGGCACCGATTCGACAGAGACGCCGCGATCCTGCCAAAATCGTGCTCAAAACCTAGGCTGGGAGCACTCGGAAACCGAAGTCTCGCCGATGCGTGGTCGGGCTGCAAAACGGCCGGCCCCCGAAAGGCGTCGGGGCGCACCCAACGCTGGGGCTGTTGGGGCACGAGGGCGTGGTCGGCGTCTCGAACGCGACGGGTCTGCGGACCCGCTTCCCGGACGGCA